TTGGATGTAAAAGGCTGACTAAACTACAGTTACAACATATCTAAACTGGAATGTATAATACTTAAAACATTCCCCTTCCAACCAAGAGGAATAATACAGGTTAGTCGATGTTGTCTAGATTGATTCAAGTATTAGGTTAATTTTGATCGATTGACGTCTTACGAATTAATCGTGATTTCTGACGTTGTTCTTTTGGTTAAAACCGTTTTGAAAATAACAAAAAAAATATACTTGGCTGAAGGAAACATTCTAAAATACTATTAATTGTTACCAAAATCACTTAAACTGAGTAACATTATGTCCTATTTACGTAACAAAACAACAATCAAAATTTTGATACCGGATCTGAATTGGCAAGCCGTTAAAGTAAGCTGTAATCAATATAAATAGTTTTACAACGAATATCTCACATACATCAATAACAGCAAACAATTTATAAAACATTTCAAAAATAAAATACGTGTTATATATACTTACTTTTTCTCTCTATTTAGTAGAAATATCTTGAGATATAATATTTCAATTTTTCCCAGTGCTAGTGCGTATGAATACAAAGATTAGGTCAGGGGAGTGACTCCCCATCTTCTATACCGGCAATATGAGATTTGAAAACACCAAAATAAGCACCACTCTAGACGTTATTCCTCCGCGGGAAAAATGCACACTGTTGCACAGTATTATTTAATTTTTCATTAAAGTTGTCGAAATATATATTACATTTTGTTCTTATTTAAGTTTCATTGAATATTAAGTAACCACGCTTTAATATATTTCAACCTGTCACAATAATCTGTCTTCAAATGACGGACTATTTGCTTGTATGACGTCAAACGATATGATGACAAGAAACGGAAATGAAAGGAGAAGATAAATTGCGTCAGTTCCCAAGCTATAGAAAAAAGAAGCGTGAATTGAAATATAAGGATTGAATCTTGCTTATCCAAGGCCTCGGTTAAGTAATTCGTTGTCTCGATTTAGTGGTTCTTTGGTTTTGTGGTTCAGATTCTGCAACCAAATCTAATATTTTACCAGAAAGAAAAGTGCTTTTGAATTGATTTGTTTAAAATCACAGCTTTTGCATCTTGTTGCAGATGTGTTGATATTTCAATAAAAGTTTATAATTTATTGTTATTATTTTATGTTGATTATATCTGTATCATAGGTAGCAGTACACAGTTTCTCGGCGTGGCCATGGGTGATTTTTTTTTGCTCATTAGATTACCCCATTATAAAGGTTTTAATTAAAAATGAAAAAAAAATCCTTGCTAAAATTGGTTCTGTCATGTTAAAGTGGACAATGTGGGGTTTCATTTTTTTCAGGATAATATTTTAGCTTTGTGTTGGAGATTACTATTTGGGCAGTCTCGAATCTGTGTCTATGCACCAAAAACTAGCTTTACAGGAAGTGAAATTTTCATAGTGTTCACATGTGGTCATGTTATGAAGAATTTCCGAGTTGGAATTTGCTGAAATGTAAGTACTTTGTTACCATGACAGTGTTGTTGATTGTAAGATAGGTGTTTAGAATTAAATTTCTCCTAGAAAGTTGTAGTGTTGGGTTGGAATTAGCAGTATTTTTGCATTTTTAGCATTTTTTCAGTAGGTAACCATGACAATCAAATGTCAGAAATCAAAGGAAATTTTTTTTTACACAAATTTCATCTCTCTACTGTTAATGTAATTGTTATATAGTTTATAAATATATATACATGTAATGATGTATTTTCCATAACCAATCTGCTATACCTGTATATCTCAAACATGACAGATAATTTCAGGAAAAATGCAAATTAACTGTTTACTGCTACCATAGGACAAATGCATTGTCCACACCCCGTCTCTAATTGTTCTTCCAACCCGAATCATTTCTATTTTCCAGCATATTTCTTGCATGAAGCACAGTAGCTAGTATCAATATGCATTTTTTTCTTGCTGTTCTTATCCCACACACTACATTCATTGATGAAGTGTTAATCACACGGAGCAGGCACATCATCTCACGTCACACATTCAGACATATATGTTTTCCTTCATCTACAGAAAACACCTTATCTGGATCATATTTCACCTGATTGAGACAATTGGACTTTGAAATGCAAGGCTGACTGCATATTGTACCATTAATATGGCAAACCATTTTTAACAGTTGATAGTTTCTAACAATAAGGTAAAATACATTTTAAATTAATTTCGCTGAAGTGGAATACATTTTATACCATGAATATATATTCGTGTTTCAATTGTATATTATTTCACTTAAATGGAAAGAATTTAATTGAACTCATTGGAAACAAAATGTTTATACCCCTGAGGCGGGGGGTAGGATATACTGAAATCATTTGGTCAGTCCGTCTGTAGATATATCACAAGAGTCGGACGTTCTCTGTGTGAAATATTGAACCAAAATAAGAGCTATCAGTTTGTTCCTAAAATGTATTTAAAGTCTTTATATACATTCTTAGTAATCAAGCGGTTTTTAGTATTGATTTTGGTCATATTGAAATGAAAAGTAAGCAATGAACTTGAACTTTTCAAGGCGTCAGATGTTTGACCCTAATTCTTCTCGTGAATAAGCGGTCATAATCATGTGTCTTTTTCATACTTAGATGAAGTGTTGCTATGTTTGTTCAAATGGTAGATCTTGGCCAATTTCAGAGGTCAAAACTTAAAATAATTATTTTTATCAGCCTTTCTTTATAACTAAGTCACTCAGGAGATCATGATAATGTGCCTGTAGCATGCCGGGACAAACCATTACTAAGTATATGCAAATATTTAGTCATGGACACCTTGCTAGGTCATAGGGGCCAAATGTATCAAAATCTTCAAAGTGCTTCTTTTTAAAATCTTGATGCCCGAGTTTTGCTGTTTCACCTGTAAGATATGGTCCAAAAAGCATTAAAGGTTAACCTGAATGCTGACTCTTCATAGGCTGTAGACTTGATGAACCTATATGGAGTCTTTTTCAACATGGCCTAATTGACGTTCGTAAGTAGTGGAAAAGAAAAAAAACATAATTATAAGGGAATAAGTTAATCCCTTAAGATGAAATGGGAGTAATGGTAAAGTGTTTAAATAGAAAATGCCTTTATTCAGGGTCGGCTGGTAATATGATATCAAAGAACTATCTGTTTAAACTGTTTAATATATACTTTGAGTCTGCAAATTATTCCCCAATATAGAAGCAGTTGTCAGAAATAGTTTAAAAGATTGCAATACTCTTTGGATTTTTTTATTGGGCACGCTAACAGAACATATAACATTATCAAAATGGACTTCGGTGAAATTGAGATTTAGAGTTTAAACATTCAATCATCATATGTTATGTTGATAAAGAAGTCTTTACAACAACAAGAAAATACCAACGTGTCGAAATATTCATAATCCAAACACGAATTCCTGTAGAACTAGGGCACAATATGATCAAAGGAAAGATTTTCAAGGATACTCCTAAAAAAGTACGATAATAAGACCATGTGCTCCGGAAGATTAAGCGTCTCCTCTCCTCATCAGTGACACCTGTCATGTAAATCTTGGTCAATCAAGGTAGGTAATGAGCTACCGTTACTGCCATTACACATATTTGGCGATGTCGCCAGGGCTGCTACACTGACCGGTTGACAATACGGGGGAATTGTTGTGTAATCGACGGGAGATCAACGCCAAAATCCATCGTGTCCTGTAATCTACTTCTTTGAGAAAAAATCACGACTTTGCCATCAACATGTTTGTATCCAACATGCCATGTAATTTATTGTTTACACGAGATCATTTTATCAATTTATTGACCTGAGAAAAGTGTTCCAAAAAGGAAATTTATAATTTTGTGTTTGGGATATATATTTGTAATACAGTTAAGTGAAATTATTATATAGTTTTGTTCTGTTGACGATAATATACTAGCTATTGCAAGAAATAGTCATGCCAATTGGAAACAGTACAAGTATATTACATATTTATCAATGTGTAACTTCACAAGCGAGTACGAAATTTCCTCGCTGAATGGTTAGTCAAAGGATTTCCAATTTCTCCATTGTCTTTGAGACACATGTTTAAGCATAACCTGAATAATTATTGTGCATGTATTCTAGAATTATCACAGGGAAGCAAATCGTGTGAAAGAATAGACATGGCCAAACAGAGACCCCTTCTTACACTACATTATTATAATTTTCCAGAACTTTTTCTCGAGAACTTAAAGTCCACCAGTAGTGTCTACGATCTGCTCAAAAATTGTACAAAAGACACACAAATTAAGAGCACTTTTTAAAACTATACCATGTACATGTATTTCCTTGCATTTTGATCTATGACAATCTTGATTCTAACTTTAATAACCGCGATTATAGCTAATTTACCTCCCCACGAATATAACCAACTATACAGTATTAAAAAGGTCATAATACTTTAAGTATGCTTTATGTAATGAACGCACGGTAGTATGGTGATTTCGTCAGACTTCCTCATTCATGATTGTGCTAATGGAATATAATATGAAAACAAATTCAAATCAATTAAGTTAATATATACAGGCGCAAGCCAAGTTTGGATATTTCTCTAATAAATGAAATATGCATGTTATTTTTTTCCCATACAAACATAAGGGGAACAAACTTTATATATTTGTTCTCTCTTCAAATGTGACTTATCTTGGCAAGACATCAACATTACAATGGGCCAAAAGTATATACTATGACGAGTGGAAACATTATAGCGATTCCAGCAAAAATACGTTGTCATTGTTGTATTACAATTTCTTACCATCCTCTCTATACATGCTACAAACAAGAGGTTTTTGTAAAATGTTTCCAGTTGATCTTTCGTTTGTCAACAAAAAATGATATGGCAATTCCTTAATTGTAAAATTAACCTCATACAAGTCATTAGCCAAATAAAGAGATTTTTGTACGTACACGATTTAAGATTCAATTATTTGACTTCATTGACTGAAAAAGATTTCTAATCCAAATGGATCTTTACAGACACCAGAGGCTTCCATAGTTATTCTATCTGGGAGACATGTATACGACGTACAGAAGTATTTGATTATTTCCCATAGCCATGTAAGTATAAATTATATCCGGAAATCATCTAACGAGGCATACATGACAGTTCTTAAATGTAGGCAATATTTCGATATACCTGAGATAAAGGACGTTATTTCTGATTATATGTATAATCACTTGGGTATGTTTACAGCTCTACTTGTAGATAATGTTTTTTTTTTTTGTTTTTTTTGTTAAGTATTGGTAATTATCATATTTAAATCATATTTTGCACAACGTGACATGTAGCAATAGCATGTCTTTGCTCAAAACTAAACGTTTTAAATGCATTTCATACACCACTGCGTGGACGCTAAAGATGTGTATAATTGTTACAAGATCATATCAGTTCATGGACGTACTTTATCTAGCTCAGGTGTACTAGTAATGTTGTGGCTGATAATATCCCACGTAATTTACGGTAAACCATACTGACCATAAGTAATAAACTTACAAGCTGTTGATTTACGTATGATATTGATTAAAAGTATTTTAAAGGACACGCAGATGTCATATTTGTAAATTTATTCGATGTATGATAAAAAAATAATGTAATATGCTCTCCCCGTGGAAGTCTGGCGCTACAATATCTATATCCGGGTGATTCTTTTGTTCACGTTCTACCTCCAGGTTTCGTCAATATTGAGTTTGAAATGAAATTTAAAACAATCCTTTGTTGTATTTTTGTGTATAAAGTTTGCTTACAGATAATTCTTCACCCATCAACATATCAATGAAAATAAAATAAGAATTTTAAAAAATTAATTGGGGCTGTGCTAGATTGTCGTTGTTTCAGTAAACATTAATTAATTTTATTAGAAAAATATTGGATTGCAAATTTTGCGCATGGTAGTATTTTCAGTCATGATATACATAAAAGGCTGACATTGCATACGTTTATATATTAAATATCGCATCCTACTGGAATGGAGTAGCCAATATAGTTTCGAATTGACAAATAAAATAGTTATTACATCTAAAAGGTTTGATTATGAGGTTGGAAAATTCAGTATTTATTAAATTTGAGTATATAGTTCTAAATACCAGTTATATATTGAAGGTTAAATACAGTCAAAGCTTCAATAGGAATATATATATATCTCCTTGAACATTAACCTATCGTAGAGTGTTCCCTAAGATGTCTAATATATGAATACAAATTGTCTTAATGATATAATACACATATGAGTAAAAACGATTCCAGAATAGCACGCTTATACTGCTTCATCGACGATATTTATCGTCGTGTAGAGTGATGTACCATGTAAATCCCTTGATATTTCAAACCATCTACCAAAACTCTTAGGTTGGAACATTACTCACTATTATTCGTTGTAACAGTGAACTGAAGCCTCAAAAACAATGTTATCAAATATTACATTTATTCACATCATCATGATAGCATTCGTTGTAACAGTGAACTGAAGCCTCAAAAACAATGTTATCAAATATTACATTTATTCACATCATCATGATAGCATTCGTTGTAACAGTGAACTGAAGCCTCAAAAACAATGTTATCAAATATTACATTTATTCACATCATCATGATAGCATCCATAGCAGAAACTAACTTACACCTCGAGACAGATACATACATCGAGAAGAAATTTTCATTGCCATTATAGTCTCGGTGCCTTATCATTTGCTTATATCAAGTAAAATGAGTGAGTACGATGTTTGTTAATATGTCTTGTTCTTGTTTTCCACTTACCTTGTTGTTATCTTGAGAACTTAATAGACAGTGTACTGTTATTGCTCGGAAAGTTGAAAAAAGTTGCAAATTGTGAGCAACCAAAAACTTTGTCACTTCAAACAAAATGTAAAGTCAGCGACATATAGAATCCACTTTGTCACTTTGTGCTTAATTCACAATATGCAGGCTTCTCGTTTCATTCATTTTTTATAGTTTATTTAGTATGTCATATTTAAAACACTAATCAACCCAAGATTATATCATTTAACAATTTTTCTCTTGGAATGTTAAATAAACTTAATACAACGAATCGTACTCTGAAACTAATAATCATAACATTCCAACACAAGACAATGGTCTCTTCCCTTTAACAGAACCAAACTTCAATAATCGTCTCCTTTATTCTTTTTGACAGATCAATTAACTATCTGAATTCCACAATGTCAACATCTGCGGGTAAGTTACGATACAAAATTAATGGTGTAGAAACAAGCACGTTTATAATATAACCCTCAAACCCATAAAAATGTCTGAAAATACTTTCTTCTAATCCTTCACTTCAGATTAATTATTGACACGGATTTCATATAGCAATATACATGTAGAATGTACGAATGTGGTTCATAACAACGTTCCTTCTAATGATACATTATCTATCTTCCTTCGTCCATCCCAAATTTGGAAAAGTTTAAATGCAGTTTACACTGATGTAATGACCAGAAAGTCCTCCTTTGGTACTTTACAATAAATGCTTGCAGGTGTTATCTGTTGTAAAATTCGTTTAGATCCTTTATTGAATAAAGGCTTTTCTTTTGTAGAGTATAGGTATACAAGCGGTGACTTGATTGTTACTGAAGAGATGCGCGAGGATTTCCAACAATTTGGATATATCATGGTCAGGTAAATTTTCCTCTTTAATTTTCACATATTATATATTTCTTGACATTCTTTCTATCGAATGCACATGACATGTTTTCCGGTATTAACATAATGAAAATCAGTTGATTTTTAGATCAGTCATCATTATATGCTTGATACATGAATCTACAGAAAAACCGAACAGACATCATTAATACCAATATATAAGAAACATAATCGATCATGTATTCCATCAATTTATATAAGATATATTGATTAATAAAATATGTTAATCTGTAACTGAGCGAGATCGGGATATCTATGTCGAGGGCTAACATCTTGTAACATAATCCCAACCGAGGCGTTAGCCCGATAACTAGGTTTAATATTAACAAATGAAAGACTTAAACCCATGATAAAAAGAGAGAATAACACCAGATGTGTCGGAATAGTAAGCGCCTTATGCTTCTTCGTCAATTCCCATCACGTAAAGTTTGGCCAATGCAAGTAAATAATGTCACGTTCTCTTTTATTACTGCTTTTCAATTGCAATATTAGCTTACATCGGACATCTTACGAAGCAGATAGTGTCGCAATATTGTATTGGGATTTGTTTATATTAATTAAAAACAAGAAAACGACAGTGGATTGCTATCAGATTAAATTTAGTTTGTCTATGCATTTTATGGGCGAGTATTTTCGATTCAGACAGTATTAGAGGAAATTCATTGTCCATGCCATGTTTCTTACATTTATGTCAATATATTTCATTATTACACTTCTGTTCTAGTCTAAGAGTAAGCATATATCTGTCGTAACATGTACACCCCACGGGTCACAAAGATAAAGATATGACATGTTTGTTACACAAACCATTAGATGTCCTTCTCGTAATTGTGTAATTGCGTAAATACGACCAACGTGGTTTGGCACAGATAGCATGCACATGATCAAATAAGTAATACGCATGTAAGGAAGTAATGATGTGAAACAACTATCTTGATATTATAATTAAACATAATTTATCATGTCAGTGAATCAGATCGATGATTATACTAGTTATAGAGATAAGACTTGCTTCGAAGTTAATACGATTATAGTTCTATGTAGACCATGATATCTGTCCAAGTAAAATAAAATTTCTTCTTTACTATATACGTCTTTGGCTTTTGGAATATCCGATCTGATGTCATAACTTTTTTATCATTCAGTTATTACAGACATTTCAAACGACAGCATTCTGAAGTTTAATTCTTTGTATAATATATGGGAAAAAGACGGAAATGAAAGTTTGACAAAAAAGCTTTCTAAACAAACTATTGAAAATATTCAGAAAAAAATTGTATACCCTGCTGTAACAAAGGGTGACTTTATGCTGCCTTTTTGTTATAGTAATTGTCATAGAGATGGACAATTAGAACAAGCAAAACGACATAATGTATTTGACCTATGCTAATAATTTCACTCGGTTCCAGTGGGATTCGTCATATAACAATGAAGTTCAGTAAGATACCTGGTTTCAATTACAGTTTTTTTAATGAGCCACATATTATAAAGAGCTAAACATTGTACTAGATGATACAGAGTCACACATTGTACTAGATTATAAAGAGACTCCACACACTGGACTAGATGATAGATTTTTCACAATCGTGGTCAACTGTCTTCCTTTTTTGCTTTGTATTTCCAAAATGTTCCTTGTTTTAATTTTTTGACGTGTAGATGTTACTGATACTACCAATTTGATTAATTTTTACCATTTTTATCAATCACGTGTGGAAATGACATATAGAATGAAATCTTGGACACGATATAATTAATGGCTGCAGTATGTATTAGGTCGGAATCAAAGCGTTTATAAATGGTAGAATATTTGAAGGGAATTCTCCTTCAAAAAGGATGCACATGATTACGTAGTCGATGATGTAAAGGCGACCTCGAACAGCATTGCAGACTTGATTCTAGAGTAAAATAAAATGAACGTATTGTCATAACGTGATATAGTGTTGGATCATTCGACGACTCGGTTAAACTTTTGACAAATATAGAATCGCATTTTATGAACAAAATATATCCAATCTTTAACATTACATTTGGTACTGCATTCTATGTTGACAGTTACCTTCATCAGATATTACATTATGCATGTTAAGTTTTAGAGCAAGTGCCTCTAAGTGAGTTTTTGATATTCGTTGAAAGAAAAAGTCATGTCAAAAGAAAAACGCTTACCCCTTCACTCTGTAGAAGTGGGTGTTGTGTGAAAGGGGCGCTTAAATTTCTTATCCCCAGTATGCTCATCAGCATGATGTTTTGTAGGTCTAGATACCAGCACGGGAAGCTGATTCGATTATTGGTTAACACTTCAATGCAACGACATTCAGCATACCGCATCAGATGACACTGAAAATGATATGCATATACCAGGACGTTCTGGATCAAGTTCCGTTTACTCTGTCGTGTTCCATTTTGAAACATATTGTAGCTTAAAAATAGCATACCAGATTTACGTATGACTTCAGAAAAACCAAAGCATAACGACATTAAATTAAAATTTTAACAATATTTGATTAATGAAATAAATTCAAATCTATGATAAACTTACAAAATCTATTAATATGTCCAATTCAATTACACCAATTGTATGTGGCATTCTGTCCATATCAGATGAAGCTGAAAATGATAAAAATCATAATTGAGTTTAGATGATTTGGAGAAACATGATGTATAAGAATCTGTTTTATTAAGGTATTTGGTCTGAACCAAAGACGTTGTAATGCACGATGCATTTATAACCGGTCTACCGTTTCTGCAGTGAAATGTTGTATATCAAGATAAGGAATATATGACATATAGTAACAACTTTTTATCGATTGTATAAACGTTCTACCTTCAATAAAGTTTAGCATTGAATACGTCAAAAATGGATTATTGTATATCTGTTTCATTATTTCATTATTCTAGAACTGACCACAAGCACATAGAGTTATACGATGACAGCTATAACAAAATTATAATATGTATCAAGTGATAAAGTTGTAAACAATGAGAGAAAGAAAAGCATTTTTCAATACACTGCTGTTCTCATTGGTTAAGTATATGTGTATAATTGGCCTTTAGTATATGATATCATGATATCTTTAATGTTATTTCATAGAGTTGTTTGTAAATGTAATATCTTTAATACATATCATGTATCGTGATCGAAATAGCATGTCAAGGTGGAGGGGCGTCAACTTAATTCTTTTGTAGCATGAGACCAATCATATAAGTCCTTGTTGCTAAAACATAGAAATATATTCGAGCCGTTCAGTACTTACGGTATCACTACATGCTGCTTATTTCTTGTAATGATGTGTTCGGTTTCCCATGAAAAATATATAGCTAATATGCTATATTCATTCTGCCTTTCATTTTGGTTATGTTAAGCCGCGAATAATGAACAATTTTAAATATAAGCGGTACCTTATATACCTCATATAAATGAGCTATAGTAATTTCTGTTTGGCAACTTTTTATTTTGTATTTGTGAGAATTTATCCCAGATCGTCAGTAGCTGACGAAAAAAATGTTTAAATTGATATTTCCAATGGACAAACTATCAATGGAATTAAATATAGGTAAGTCTATTCCTGTATGAAAACAGAATATTTATTTCTATATTGCTTCAATTCATTATTCACTGAAACAAATCGATGAAATAATAATTTCGCTTCTTTCAAAAGTCTGTAAAAACATGTACTGAATTCTTGGTATGTTTATCTTAATCAGAATGACATTCTTTTTGTAAAGGTGGTTAAAAACAGATCTATGATGTAATTTCCTATATTTATCACGTGATACGTAATATTCCGGAAATAGATCCAGAGAAGTAAGGGAAAATGCAGTCTTATAAAATACCGAATTGGTGTGATTTATCATTCTATTCACATGTTGAATTACAATTATTCCTTATTATGTTTATGCAAGCGCTGTAAGATTATTTATACAAACTATCTGACAATACATATCTTGATCAGAATAACATATTTTGACTCAAGCGTAGCAGATGCTTTCATTCATTTCATATACTTAAATATTACTTATTCCAAATATTAATATATCTATGAAAATACGAAATCGTGTTCTCTTTGACATGTCTGAACGTTTGCCTGTAGCTATTTTAACTGATAAAGTTGAAAAAGTATGGAAAATAAATTTCAGCTATACAATTTGCTTACCAATCATCTGCCATATAAATTCGCATTGCGCATGCTTATTTAAAATAAAAAATGAGATCGATCGAAGTTGAGATTAAGCGGACTTCATTGATGAATAAAGTATATGTAACGGAATCATGTTTTCATGTGGGATGTATTTTCCGTAATATCTCTGAATTACAATGAAAATAATAGTGAAAGTATTATACCATTGTACTTTGTTGCTACTTTTCTTGTAATAATATAATTCGTTTCGTTTGTTTAATCTTTAACCGAATAACTCTGCGCCGATAAAAAGTATTGTACATATCCTAATTGCGTTGAGCATTCAGTTTGAAGTAAGAAGGCCAGATTTAGAAAGTAACGACAAGGAAAACTCAGAAGATTACAAAAACAATTCTGTAATTCCAAAGACACATAACTCTATATAAAGACAGCTTTAAGCAATCGAACTCGACCTTTCAAACATGAAATGATATGGTATGCAGAAATAAGTAACGAGTACCTAAAATTTACTACATATATACTCAAGCCTTCTCAATGAGCGACAAAATCCCACTCAGAAAAACCATTCTCTGTTGCCATTCTATGGTAACTTTATTTCAGACACGTGAAACTGCCTATTCCAGATCAACATTCGAAATGCCGGACATATATTTCTTTGAAAAAAAGTAGATTAATAAAATACACAGATATCAGATATATCTAATGTCCTAAAATTGGAGAATGGGAAATAAATCTAAACATCAAGTCTGAAATGTATGATAACATTTTATTTCCATTCAATAAAAACAAAATTCAAAAATTCAAATAAAAGAAAATAACAACATGTCATTAAAATCAAAT